ACGCTGAGAAAGGTAGAAGACTAGATATTCACATTAAACTGTTTATTCAGCCTACCTTGTGGCCACGTAAAAAGTAAAGCCAAGGCGCTGGCACTGATAGTGGTGAACAGAGCACCGGTCGTCGACCGAACTGCCGAGCGGTGAAGCGTGTCGCCACTTATACAGGTGCCGTCGAATATTTCAGCATTTTTACTAGCAGCCACGTAAGTTCCCAAATTATCTGTAATCTTCACAAGAGTGCGTAATCATAACAAAATTATCTATTACAGTCCCGAAGCTTCTCAAAAACTGTAGGCAAGGTTTGCGCTAAATATTTATTTATTTATTTATTAGAATACCCTCAGGGCCCGTAGGGCATTACAGAGGGGGTGGGTACAACATTTTATAACACACAAGAAAAAAAAGACAAAAAAAAGAAACAAGTGTCAGGTGCGCAAATCACGAAGGCAACATAAATCAACTAAAAATGTATAAGTAAGAATTCAAGCACATACAAGACAAAGATAGATAATGTAAACTGCGTATAGTTACAAACATTGCTGAGAAATTGCAGTCTTGAATAACAAATGGTCTGTTATTGTTACAACGGAAGAAGGAAGGATGGTTCCAATCGGCGGCTGTTTTCGGTAAGAAGGCTGCTGAAAAGAATTTGGTGCGGCAAAACGGAATGGCAACCTTATGCTGGTGATCAATGCGCGATGAGTGGTATGACGGTTGTGAAATGAGGTCTCGCTTCATTGATGGATTGTGAAAAAATATCTTATGAAAAAAATGCAGTCGCACCAGTTTCCTCCGGACAGTTAAATTGGGCAGGTCAAGGTTAGATTTCATTTCTGATATGCTAGCAGTACGGGAATAATTAGAACAAGTGAACCGAGCTGAACCGAGCTATTACTTTACAGTGTAATGGGGCCATATCAAAATTGTACAAAGAAGTCTTGCATTGCCCACCTCCAAAAAATGCATCATCCCGGTGCCTCAAAAAATGATGAAAACACAATAGTAAATCAAAAGAATAAAAAATAGGTACAAGCAATAAACACAGCAACAATAAAAAAATGTTACAGTCCTCAGGTTCGTGCATGAAATGGCTTGAGGCGCAAGACATCCACAACTTTGGGTTGTGCACGCCCCCGTTGAAAGTTCATAATGCCGTCAAAAACAACCTCGTAGTCAAATGAGCCGACATGTATAACTACCCAGCACGGTACAGAGTACCATCCAAGAAAATCCTCACTGAGTCTACGCTGGCGTATTGGTGTCCACAACAAAACGAGGTTGCCGGGCTGGTATTGCATGAAGTTTCGTCGAAGATTGCAACGGCGGCTGTACGTCGTCTCCTGATTGTTTATGGGCAGGTGGGCCAGTCGACGAGCTTCTTCAGTGCACTCAAGATAGACGGTGACGTCAAAGTTTTCTTCGTCAGCGACGCTTGGCAGCAATGCGTCGAGCGTGGTTGCTGGGTTCCTTGCGTAGATCAACATGTTTGGAGACATTTGCATCGTCACTACACTGCCGTGTCGTATACGAAGGTGACGTACGGAAGAATGGCGTCCCACATTTTGAGGTCTACGTCGACGAACATGGCCAGCATGTCAGCAATGGCCTTGTTTGGATGCTCGATGAGATCATTGGTCTTCGGGTAGTACGCTGTCGTCCGGCGGTGCCTTCTACGGCTGTATGCTCAGTATTAAATAGCTGAAGTGCAATACGATCACAGCACATTCACGGAGTGAACGTTGATGAGTGGGGCAAAGCGTCCGCCAGCCCGTCCATGCTTCCGTCCATCCGTTCATTCTTTGTTCTGTCCGTCCACGTGACCATGCGTACGTCCATCCATGCGTCCGTCCTTCTGTCGGTGCGTCCGTTCGTGAGTCCGTTCATCCATCTGTCCGTCCGTTCTTGTGCCCATATGTCCATATGTCCGCACGTCCGTCCATCTATCTGTTCGTCTTCTAGTCTGTCTGTCCGTCCGTTCGTACGTTAATCTAGTGACTACTCCAAGACCGCTATCTCGCATCTCGCGACCCCTTTGGCACATACCCGCTCTGCGCTTTCGTCCATCCATCCGTCCTTCTGTTAGTCTGCCTGTCCGTCCATTCATGTATCCGTCCGTGCGTCCAACTAGTGAACGCTCGAAGTACCGCCATCTCTCATCTCGCATCCCCTGTGGCACATACCCGCTCTAGAGCGGATATGTGACACTGGTTGCTACGTACGACAACATCGAAGGATGTACACACCCAAGCTTTAAGGAGGCTCGCCCCTAAAAGGTAACAACGGACTAAGGAAACAACTAGCACCAGCGCTAACTTAAAACTCCCGATTTCCACCTTCCTTCTTATGCGAAGATCGCATTAGTTAGGTCAGCAGAAAGTGCCATGCCTCAGTCGGTAATGAGGACCTATGGGGCACCATGACGATGGACGACATTCTTCTCTAATCCTGTTGCACTGTCTTTGGGGAACGCCCTTGTCTCGGCATAGTGGGTGAGGTAGTCAATAGGTATGACGATCCATTTGTTTCCGGAAGTCAACGTTGAGGACGGCCAAAGTAGGTCCATGCCAATTTGCTGAAACGGCCAGCTAGGTGGCTCGATGGGCTCGAGCAGCTGAGCTAGCTTTGTTGCGGTTTTTTTTCTGTTGTTAACCCTCTCGGCAGATTTTTACTTAGTAGGTGATATCGGCAGGGAAGCGGGGCCAGTAGTACTTTTTCTGTATTTTCACTAACGTTTGGGAAAATCCAAAATGTCCATCCGTCTGGTCAGTATGCAGAACATCCAGAAGTTCTGGACGTAACGATGAGGGTACTACGATGATGTAGTTGGCCCGATGTAGCGAGAAGACTTTCTTGACGAAAATTGCAATACAAACGACGCCAGTCACCATTTGAAAACCTTTGGAACAACGGCAGCTTTCACCTCGAGTTATTCTACAAGGCCCCTGATTTCAAGATTAGCTCGCTGTGGTTCGGCGAAGTCGTCTACTCTTAAGGTTGCCAAGACGTAGTCACTGCCCTAGTCATACTGTGGTGGGGGTTCATGGGGGCATGAGACAGGCAGTCGGCACCACAGTGCTTTCGTCTAGAGTTGTAAACGGTGGTAACGTTGACTTTTTTAGGTCTTAGACTCCATCGTACGAAAGGACCTGAAGGTTCTTTTAAGTTAGCTACACAGCAAAAGGCGTAGTGGTCACTCGCATATTTAGATTGATTGATTAATATGTGGGGTTTAACGTCCCAAAACTACTCGCATATTGAAAGAGCCTTTCGTAGAGGTAGGGGCGAAACTTTAATGTAGCCCAGATGATGGCAAAGCACTCGTTTTCTATTGTAGTATACTTGCTTTCTACCTTCGATAGAGACTGGCTAGCATACCTTATAACCTTTTCTTCTCTGTTGGTCTTTGCACAAAAGCCGCACCGAGACCTATGCTGCTTGCGCCGATGTAGATTTCTGTATCGGCGTATTCGTCAAAATGCGCAAGTATTGGAGGAAACTGAAGGCGTTGTTTCAGTTTCTGAAATGCTTCAACTTGCGCCATTCCTCACTTAAATTCCTCGTCGGCCTTCTTAAGCTGCTTCAGCGGCTCATGGTCTGTGAGAAATCCATGACCAATCGTGTGTGATAGGCGCAAAAGCCGAACAATCGGCGCGGGGCCCTCTTGTCGGTGGGTGGAAGGAACGCGGCGATGGCAGCTGTTTTCTGCGGCACTGGGCACACTCCAAACTTTGTAATCACGTGACCCAAGAACAGTAGCTCCTTTTTCAGAAAGTGGCATTTCTCTGGCTTTAGGGTGAGCCCATAGCTCCTGATCGCTTGAAGTAAGGAACTAAGGCGCTGGAGGTGTTCGTCGAAACTCGAACAAAACACAATGATGCCATCGAAATAAACGAGAGAAGTCTGCCACTTGAAGCCAGACAGGACTGTTTGCATGTCTTTTTGAAAAGTCGCAGGTGCTGAGAAAATACGAAAGGACATGGCCTTGAACTCGAAAAGGCCGTCTAGTGTTATGAAAGCAGTCTTTTTTCTCTCTCTCTCTCATCTACTTCGATTTGCCATATGCCAGTCTTAAGGTCTATCGAAAAAAAGTACCTGACATTGTGGAGTATATCTAGGGCGTCGTCTATTCGTTGCAGAGGGTACACGTTTTTCTTTGCGATTTTATTTAAGTGGCAATAGTCTACGCAAAAGCGTGAAGTTCTATCCTTCTTGTTCACTAACATCACCGGTGACGCCCATGAACTCTTTGAAAACTGGATGATGTCGTCCACAGCCAAGGGACGCGGTTGCCGGAGAAAACACATGACAAGGTGTTGGTTAGGTATTCTGAGGTGGTTGTGTACATTTGTGTTCTAACCATTCGGCTATTCCTCTAAGGTATAACTTTTCGCCTTTCAAACAGCCTCTCATTTTGTGTACATGAAAATTCAGATATTTGTTTACCTACATTGTTCCACAAAGGTTGATTTCAGCAGTTAAATCTCCTCACGTCAAACATACCATAAAAGAAGTTGTTGTTGGGCTAGTTTGTAGAACATTTAAAAAAACAATTCGAGGACAACCACTGTGATGCCGCTGTGCTGCTGGGGAAACTCCAGCGCTCTGCGTGCTTGATGCCTGGGTGTGCGGGTGAATGTTTCACGTGCTTGGGCACAAATTAGTTTTTCGTCAACATGACATTTTTAGAGGCGCCGAATCGACATTCTGCGTAGGGCTTAACAATGTTTTGTGTGCGCGTAGAACACGACACAATGGTGTTACTGCATTCCGCTACCACTCAAGCACTGATGTCGGAACAGGAGCTCGAACTGACTACAAGCTTTCCGCAACTCGTCAGAACCACGCAGCCATGACATGAGAAGTATAAAACAGGTTTTCTGAAAGCCGTACGGTGCATATAAAAGGGATGCCTACGTGGTTGCATAAAAAAAGAAACTGTCACCCCATTCGAAGGAACAGTGCATTCACAAGTCTACTTACCAACATGTTCAAGAAGGTCGGCGTGGTTTTCAGCCGTAGACAGCGTACGCAGCGCACCCCTGAAAACTTCCGTTTCCTTTAAACTGTAGACAGACAGCAGAACGTTTACCATGCGATTGGGTGGAACTGAAACACAAGCGTGGAAAACATTGCAGCTGTTATAATTTCAATTTTTGGACGCCCCATGGCACATATTGGTCTGACTTGATCAGCACCAGCTTTTGATTCTTAGCGTCAAGAAAGAAAGAAAGAACACACTGAAAACATCACCGTGCAAGCACTCCGTGCTAATGTTTAATGAGATAAAGCTTACACGTGCGGCCTCGCTGTTTAGCGGTAGGTTCAACCCGACAAGGCACTGAAGGCTTTCACAACTACTGGTTACATGTTCGTGCTCTTTAATGTGCTTAGACACACGTTTGGCTTGGGTTTTCGGCACTGTTTATTTCACATGCCGCAGATTCTGCCTCTTTTGAGGCCGGTCATGGAGATGTGTAATGAGCGGCGAAATGTGCTTCGCAGTGAGTTAATCACAAAGGTTGTTATCGAACCACAGGTGGTCACAGACGTCGCAGCCATAGCCATTGTGCCGCTGGAGAAACTCCCGCCGAAAGCGGGCGTCTGCCCCGGCGAACGCTCTCCCGCAATCGTCACGCTGTCCTTGCCACAACAGCGCGGTGTTGTTGCAAGCGTTTGGCATCGTGAGCTAACCCAGCGGCGTGGTTTGCAGGATACGCCCGTCACCAGCGCTTAAATTTCCATTCGTGATTTAGCGCGGCTTCGAAGGCTGCCAGATCATCGGCACGCAGTGGCTGCCATCACTCGACCTCGGAGGCCTGTTTTCGTGCCCGGACAGCACCATCGCCCGACGAATGCAAGCGCTTCCACGTTTAAACTGTCCGCGCTCCTATAGAGTTGTCCGTGGCACACCCTTGTGGATGGTTTCGGGAGAAACTCCAGCGTTCTCAGGACGGCGGGATTGACGTCTTACATCACTCACAGCGCAGCTGATGGCGCGCGTGTTTGGGCACGACGTTGTGAACGGCGTAACATATAACACAACCAATGGAAACTGCTCGTGACAGAATGGTTGTGTTCCTCCTAGCCACATACAGCTTTCGCTGCAAAAATGCAGTATTCAAACACAGATTAGTGTTATAAGACGACTAGTTGACCAGTAGAGAAACCACAAAAGAAGGAAACCCTGCTTGGCGTTTGCTCCTTTGCACTATTCACGTCATTCAGTTCACCACTTAAGTCCTAACTTACCCTTCACAAGCCAAGCTCCGTATCAAACGAATTTCGCTTTTCAATTCCCGAGAAACAATCAAACACTATGAGCAGTAAGGCTTAGAGTTTCAACGCTGACAGGGCCATGCTACGTGTACCCGTCTCTAGCGTACCTCAATGACCTTGCAAAAGCGTGACTTCAGCACATTGTTGCGGCCTTGAACTTGTAGCGATCTCACTCAGATGGCTCGAAAAAAAAAAAGCGTACGCGACCGCAAGTGCAGAAAATGGAGACAGCTCTTGCATGGCGGCGGCTCGTGAAGCTACGGCTTGAATTTCGTGCTTGTGCGGTTATTGTACCACCGTCTCTTTGTTTCGCTGTTGTGGCCTACAAATTTATTCACTGCGCCTCAAGGCAATTGCGTGCATGATGAAAAGGATTCGACGATGGCACCGTCACAATTTCCCACCAAATTCAGCCTCTGTCATCCAAGTACGTGGTGCGGAGTGCATTACATATACCATTAGTTTTTCCACACCGAGGTTGTTGAACTGCACAACGTCTGTGCAAGCACAAAGGGAAATATTTGTGTTCCCTTATACACTGTTTCACGACCACATGGCCAGATGAGTGGATTGTTTCTTCCATTGGTAGAAATAATGAAGAAAATCAATTCACCCCTGTAGCACGAACATTTAGACTACTTCAGGTCTGTCTTTATTATTGCACAAAGCTAATGTGATACGAAGACATTAATTATCATCTCGGTGATGTACTATGCAATCAAATCAATTTATTATATTCACTACAAGCTCGGATTATCAAATATCCGAGCCTTCGAATGAAAGAGAGACCTAGTTTCGCTGCAGTAACAATGTGGAACTTGTCGAGCAGCTTATTGATGCGGCTATAACGCATTTCCTTATTACGTTGCCTCTTGCGTTACTGTCCCCACCAATGTGACATATGACATTGGATTTAGTTAGCAGAAGATTCATTCTCAAAAAGGAAGAGGTGGTATTTATGAACTTCTGCTTACTAACTACATGTTACATCAGTGAGTAAAAGTCCTAGAAAGTAAAAGTGTTAGTGAAATGCACTTAAAAACTAAAAGGTTAGTAACCCTTATTTTCCTCACTGTTGCAAGCGTAATAGTAGTGGTTACTAACCCTTCTTGTTCTTAACAAATAAAAATCGATAGTGACGGTTACTATATTCCAACACCACCAAAAAGAAGAAAAAATCGTAACAGTGATCCTTTACCCTCACGAATCACTCGCTCGTACACCGGTCAAAATTCCGAGCAATTACATAACTATATATATTTGGTAATCACGCTCAGAATTTGCTTAGCATTTCGTAGCTGAGGAGGACACACACAAGGATGACTTAACATGAACAGAAAGATGCGCACCATTACTGTTACTGAAACTATTTGACAAGCTTCTTGAAGCGCTTGTTAATACACCATCCCGTTTGTCCAATGTAAGACTTGCCGCAGCTCAGACGAATTGCGTAAACTTAACCTTCCAAACAACGCCTAAAACGTATCATGTGCCTCTTTTGCCATCCTTGCTGCTTAGAACAGGATATTTGTCGGCATAAGTACGCCAGTTTATTCGGGCCGGAAAACGCAACAGCAATTACAAACCTAGCGACCACCCTTTTGAGCCTATTAGCGACCCCCTCAGAGAGCATGCCAGTAGTATCGGTGAGAGTGTTGACATGCCTCTTCCTGCGCATGCAAGGTCATGCTCGTGAGTGTCACGTTTTGAGCAAGCTACGATTATCGGCAAAATGGTAGTAGTAGTAATGACAATAATAACATTGTTCATTTTTTACGTTACATCTCAAAATGTTACATGTGAAAGTATGATACGTCTAAAGGCAGATTAACTGCCTGACAATGGTCCTACCACCCAAGCACTGTTCAACAGGCTTTGAAACATCTATAAATTATACAATTAAGCAGAAATGGGAAGCACTGATGCAAAAGAAAAACATGGCATAACGCTATCGTGAACAGTTCATGATGCACTTAAAATAATTTAAACAAATGGAATATTTTTTATACAAATGTCGTACACCACATTACGCTTGAGGCCCTGCTCATTATATGAAGGCACACGGGACAAGGAGTAACAATCAATTAGATTTACCCGCAAAAAGCGGAGATAGAACAGCAAACAATATACTATAGTCGTATCATATTCGAAGTAATGGGTCTGCTTGTGTCAGTGACACATCTATTGCACTCTGTCAATCTGAGTTGCCCTTATTTAATGAATTGCTCCCGTGACAACATGCTTGTCGTTACCACGGAGTGGTCGTAACTCTTCCATGCTACTGCGCATGTGTGGAAGTTTACCTGCTTTTCAGACTGCACCGGCAATTGACAAACAGTTGGTAGTATGCTGCCCACTATTCTCTTCCCCCCCCCCCCTCGCTTCCATGTTCCTAGCTATTTCCCAGTTACGAAATGTTCAATAAACTAAGGCACCAACTGGTCCAAAAACAACTTCTTCCCCTCTCATAATGTTCTGAAGGAAAATGTGTTTAGAAAATGTTGTTAACGATTTAGAGTACTAGTAGTCTACTATGAAAGAACAAAAAGCCGTCCCGTGAGCCTCACATTTCATGAGGCCGTGTCCTCAAATTTTACTGCACCGATTTAATGCAGCACAAACTTAAAGATAGGGCCAAAGTAGGAATAACGTTGAAATTTACATAACCACCAATCACACAGCACACCAAGAAAACGACGTGTCGACGCGACACGCACAGTTTATGAGTCGTTTTAAGAGTATACATATAGCCATATGTCTGGGTAACGAAGCTGAGGCCGGTGAGGAGTCCGAAATGTCAATGACCAGTTTCTTGTATTGATATATTCTGTAAATTTATGAGATGCGCATGTTCAAGTAGAGTTTGACTTACAATAAAGGTACAATACGTCACGCCGATTTCTTTTTATAAGACCGCAACATTGCCTAATGTAGAATCTCAATACGAGGTAGCTTAATGGCATCGTCGCAAAGAACTCGACTGGATTCTCATGGTGGTATATAAGTAGCAAAGAGTTTGTAATCGTAAGTACTGAATTTCATTTAAGACATTCCTTTAACAGGTGCATGGCAAAAAGTTAGTAACGGTATAAAAGAGGTAGTAGCCGTTTCAACTTACAAAGTGTCGGCTAACGTAGACAGTAAAAAGGCAGCAAAAAGTTAGTAATGCTCCAAGAAAGCTAGAAGCAGCTGTTGTTAACTATTTGCTCATAATTAAAATTATTTTTACTAACTTTTTTAAGAGTATTCTGAACATTTTCTCACTCAGAATTGTTTGAAGAATCTTTTTTTACGATCATTCAATTGCTCCTCCATACATTTCCGCTGGGGTGGATTAGCAGATTTCCCGTCACACTGTCAGTCTTACACGCTAGCCGGTAACGACTTCTGATGGGAAAAATTTCTTCACATTTTTTCAGCTGCACTGTGTTTGTAGGAGCCTGTCAGTAACAAAACGACACATTTTTTTGCTGCAGCGCTGAAAATAATTATTTATCAGCTTGTCATTACCAACCAGCGTTAATTTTCGTTTCACCTACTGGTGATTGCAACTTTCAAACACGTAAGCACACAGAATTGTGACGCACTTCCACACGGTCCAAATTGAGAAGTTTCTTCTAAAAGTTAATGGCACAGCAAACTAGCCTAACACAAACACAAGACTTTCAAAGCGTGTGCCACGGCCATGGACTCGCGAGCAGCTGTCGAGTTATACCCTCCTGCAGCTAAGGCGGCAAAATAAAAATGACGGCTATGACGTCGTCATGACTTGTCGCAGCGTGGTCACGTGAGAGAAGTAGGGGGTCACGAAGGGTCACCTTTGAGGGTTT